CCCAGTGCCTTATATATGTGAGGCAAGCACTCTCACACTAAGCCACAACCCCAGCCCTCTACTAATAATTTTGATTCTAATATTTTGCCCCCTCTGTCTCATAATTGATCAGTCATTCGTAAGGTGAGCATATCACTCATTGTTGAATCCAATCCATTTTAGAGCAAAAGAAGTGCTACCTCAAGAAGTTGGTAACACCCTAAAAAAAAAAAAAAACAAGACTGAGGAATTCATTTCATAACAAAGGACATTTCTAGTTAGCTGTGGCCTTCTTCAAATATTTTCTTTCTTCTTTCAGATTCTTACTCTTGTCCCACTAGACCCTTCTTGCACTTGCCTTTACCACTCACAAATCCCTGCATCTCTCCCCACGCTGCGAGAGGTAACTTAAAAAAATTCTCCTATTTTGCAGAAAAACTCAGCTCTTGTATCTTGTTATGTCAGGAATGCAGAGAGTACCAAATATTTATCAACCAAAATTTCCCATTACAGCCTTTTCCTAAACTGGAAAACTGCATATCCTCTTTAATGTAGCATCAGGTGGTGGGTTCCTTTAAGGTTAGGTAACATCTATATTCCTTCCACTGTCATTGGATCTTCTTTTGTAATGGTCAGTATGGCGGTTCAGTTTGGATCCCCGAGGGTCCCTTTTACTGGATCTTTTCACCCATCTCAGATTCTGCTGCCAAAACCATTGGCTGATTGCCCTTAAACAGCAGGGTTGTCTGGACAACATGGAATATTAGAAATTTCTGGAACCCACCTTCCTCTTTCCAGTCAGCAGTTGTGGGCTTATAATTGCTGTGAGAATATGAAAAAAAATCATCTCCTTTACTTTTAGAACCATTAGATTTAAGATTTAATTTACGCTCCTGCATGTCAAACTTAATTAGATCAAGTCTATCGTTCTGTTTTTTTCTCTGCAGAAAAAAATTCACATAGCAGCTTGGATTCTTGTACAAGTTTGGCTCTTGACTTGCATCTGGGTACTTGAATTTCTGAAGGACTCTACCATTCTCTACATGATAAGGGTGGCTTTCTGTGCTTATAGTGTTTATGTAAACAATGTGGCTTAGGTTGAATGTCTACTTTCCTTCAGGGACTCTGGAATATTGGTATGTACCAGACAGAGAGTGATTTCATGGCTGACCTCCACTAAGCCCTTGACTTCTAGCTCAAGTGAGCTTCACTGGTAGACAGCACTTCCCATGTGTTGTCACAACTCATTGGTGGAGAAATTAAGTACATCCTGTGTGACTCCACTGGGAGCCCCTAGAAGCTCATGCATGATTTCTTCTGGACTTTGCCCCATGTATATTTTGCTTTTGCTGATCATAAGAAATCATGTTGTGGGTACAAGTACATGCAGTGTCTTTTAAGTCCTCCTAGTGAATCACTGAACCTGGGGGTGGTTTTGGGTACCAGAGACACATGCCTCCTTCTTTACTTCAGCAGAATATTATTTTTTTTGGTTTCAAAATTCTGGATCAAGTATGAGAGTGAGTTGTACTTGTCACTGTCATTGGTTATACAATAACTTTCATTAATATGGAAAAACTAAACGTAGTGCAGAAGCATAGGCATTTCCACTGCTGTGGCTCATCACTTTACGACATAATACAGAAAGTAGAATAAGAAAATGGAGTTTTTGAAATTCAGTGGGAATGGTGTCAATTCTCTGGTATCTGAAAAGGAGCCAATGTACCAAAGTATGAATGTCATGATTTATTTATTTTTTCAACAAAGGGGAGAAAAAAGGAAACAATATTTAGTTTACACTCAAGTAATAAACAAGACAATACATTCTCCCTCCCCTTGCTTCAAGCTTAATAGCTTTTGTTCTGCCTCTAGCCAACCAATTTAGGAAACAAAATACTCTCAGATCACCATATTTCCATCTTTAAATAAAAAAGACAAATGTCACAAGAATTAAAATAGGGTAGAGTCGGGTGCTTTCAAAGGAGTAACACCCTCTAGGATTCTCCCCATCCACTTTTGGATAGTTTCTGCATCTGTGTTAGAGAGCTGGAATTGCTTTTCTGATATCTTTAATTTATTTTTTTCCACATTTTTTTAAGTTGGTACATTATAGTTGTACATACTGATGAGATTTGTTGTTACATATTTATACATGCACACAATATGGCAATGTAATTTGGCCCAAGAGTTCTAAGATGTAGTGTGTTATGTCTATGGGGTATCTTTACTAAGTTTGGCATCAATATGGTGACCTCCAGCGAGTGGGTCCAGTGAGTGGGGACCCCCAGATTGCCTAAGGAGGGATGAATTGGTCCAGATTGGAAACAGAGCAGGTCAAAACTCCCATGCAAATATCTTTAACTTTCTAGTACATGTAAAATGTTCATCTCCTTTTGAAGAGTCTGACTGTCTTCTGAGCTCTTTTGTTGGATTCTGTTCCACTTCCCTGTCAGAACCTATACAAGATTCTGCCTGAATTTTCTCTCAACGTTCTTCAACTTGCTACTTAGAAAACGTGGGGAAAATGAACAGCAGCAACAAATCCTAATGATCTCTGGAAACCTAGACAAAGAATATTTAAGGGAAGGAAAATAGAGACATTAAGTGCTTTCAAGTCATTAACAAAGTTGTGAAATTTGTGAGGAATGTGGGAGGGTAAAAAGTCTTTTCATTATTTTCTGGGTTCACAGGCTCCAATTCTCCATGTCCCTAGTCGAACCTTAACTTAATTATAAAACAAAATCCATAGCTGCAGCCTAGGCCTGGGGGTAGAGTCTGTACTACTAATCAACTTTAATTCCCTGGGCCCAATTTAATTACAAAACAACATTTGGTGCAGCTGCTAAGCACTTACCGGGTGACCACATGATAATACTGGAGTAGTATTTACAGGTCTCTGGCTTTTGCTTTTATTCTATCAGCCCTATTGTGTCTCCATCATATACAGATTTGAGGCAGCTCCAGGATTCCAACAACAACAAAAAAAAGATTCTCTTGATTTTACACACCTCTGCATAAAATCACCAAAATATTAAATTTACACTAATGTCAGCAGATAAAATTTAATGACTGAGAGATAAAGGACAATAATAACAAATTGGATATCATTTGCATACTTCTTACATTTTAAAATTCATTCTGTTTGTGAGGCTGGCAAAGTGAAAGTGGCTTTTGTCTTCAGAGTTACCAACTGGCTTTTTAGGTTGTAACAAACATTCCTTTCTAGTACAACTGGACAAAACAAACTCAGACCTCTGTTTACTTTTTTAGTGTTTCACAATAACTGAAGAAGTGATTGTGTTACAAAATAATTTTTATTTGAAAAAATTAAAATTAGCCACTGATATCTTTTAAATAGCTGGCTCCTCTATTCTATATAAAATATAAACTGTTCCCACAAATATCCAGGAAAATTGTTGCACTGAGTGAGATTGGATTTTTTTGTTGGATAACACTGAGGCAGAAGTTCCACACACAATCACTTTTCTTGTCTTAGCATTTCGTTTCACGTAGAAAAACCATTTTACAGTAGCTGGGACTTTTAATTCCTTCCTAGATCTTCAGAAGGAGAAAAAAATTATTTCGACTAAGAAAAAAATTAATACAATGTTAAAGTTAAATATGACCCTTAATGTTGTTTTTTTTTTTTTTTTTTTTTTTAGCAATTCAGGAGATAATACAGAGTTCCACTACACGACTGTAAAGCAGTATTTGAAGTGTGAGTAGAGACAAAAATGTCTCTTTGCTTTCTTTTCCTGTATGCCAATCTCTAAGTGTTACTTTCTCCTTTTCTTTCTCTTTTGAATAGAATGGGGAATAGCTAAAGAGAGGATGTATCATGGCTAATTACACCTTCATAGAACAAAGCAGATTGTGTAAAATTCATCATCAAGCACTCATTCCTTCAGAATTTCCCATGCTCTCCTGCATGGTGACCAAAGACCCTGGACATAGGTGGCATTGTGTGTTTCAAAGTCAAAAGACTAATTTCTCAGTAATGTCAGTGGCTGTCAGTCTCCCATCCCAGTGAGGATTTTTCTTTACTACTGAACAGTGACTGAGTCACAGGAGGAAACAATTCTGCTTGCTATAAGAAAATAGGACCGAAGGAATTATGAAGGTTACCAGATGTTCCAGCACTCCGGGGGGCACCAGGATGCTTCTGCATATGCCATAAACAGCATAAACTGTCAACCATGAGACCCTTGGGTTCAGTGCTCACATTTCTCCCATGTGCAGAGTCACAGGATTTGAGAGCTAGAAGGACCCTTGGACATGATCTTGTTCAGAGGTTTTAAACTGTGTCTGAGGGAGTCCTATGGTTCCTCTGTGACTTGGGATTGCTGAGGATAACAGTTTCTCTCCCAAACAATAATAGTGCTCTTGAGAACAATCTAGAGGGTGCGTCAGATGACATCAAGACAGAATATTTTACCAAAGAGTAGTTGTAATAGTCTAAGGTGATTACTGTGGCTAGGGAAAAGAACCTTGTAGAAAACATTATCCACTGGTTCTGACATTTGAAGAGGGGGTGCCCAGAGAATAGGAGAGGGCTGACTGGAAACACTGCTGTGAAAGGCCTAGTGGTTGGGGAATAAAATTCCTCCATGTAGACACATGTGGGGGAAAAAGACTTTCAGAGTCAAGTTAACTGACTTTTATGACCCTCCTCCATTTACATTCAAATTTCTTTGGTAAATAAAACAATATTAATGATTACCTTTCCTTGTTATTTGGAATTTGGCGATTTGCCCTGATGATGGTTTAGTTCTTATTCATTCTGTGTTCAAATTTTAGAATTCCCTGTGATGATTGATGGTATCTCTATAGTGCTTCCTTGAGATTGATCACACCATCTGTCTATCTATCCATCCATCCATCCATCCAAGGGAGAGAGGTAGCTCACTCTTCGTAATTAGAACCAGTTATAATGAAAGAAGACCCCAGATTTTAACATGAGGTAAAGCATATGTCCAAGGTTACAGATATTCAGAAAATTGGAATAGATGTTTCTGGCTTACCATCACTGTTGATGCACACAACCTCTTGAACCTGAGTGCCTGGACCACACTCCTTTCCGTTATCTGGCTCACAATCTCCAAGCCTCACTGCTTTCCACTCATAGCAGGATGGCTCTTCACAGGGAATGGCTTCCAGCAAATGAGGGCAGTTTCCAGTACCCCCAGATCCCCCAGTGGGCTCATTGGTAATGCGCCGCTTCCTCAGTTTGAAGCCTGAATTATCGGGGAAAGAAAATATTTATTGTTAACATCGGGGTCCAGTATTTCAGAAAGCTGAATGAAACCCCATGTGAATGTGGGATGTGGGTAGATGGTAGAAGTCATGACTGTTTTGAATCATTAGTGCATGTACCCCCAAATTGTACCCCAATGTGACCTCATAAACTGTTTTTGAAATGAATGAACGAATGAACAGAATGGAAAGAAGAGTTTGGTTTTAGCTTATTACAGAATAGATAAGGCAAAAAAAAATCAAATAGTTCCTCTGTCCCTCATAAGGCTCAGTGGGGAGAGAGACAGGAGAAAGGGAGAGAAAGAGAAAAAAAGAAAATAGAAATAGATTTTGGTAAATAGATTTGGAAATTCTAAAGTTAAACAGCTTTCAAAAAGCCAATGAAATCTCAGGCTATACAGAAATATTCATGATCAAGTGAAAATTCTATTACTTTTCATCCTTCAGCACTTATCACATGATTGAATTTGGGAAAGGAACCTCTGAGAAATTGGATGGTTCCAGAGAAATTGTTCTTGAGCCTCCACTGAATTTAGACTCTGGAAATTTGAATTTAGGACCTAAACGATTCTAGCTTTAATGTGGAATATTTAACATTCTGCTCAAGGTTTCAATCACACCTAAGTTCTGCTTTTCCTGACAATGTAAAACACAATTAACAAATCTGTTTATTGCTATGGGAACATACTAGAATAATTAGAAGGCTTTCCTTTGAAACAAAACAGGAAAATGTTTTCAATTATGAGATTATGTGGTACATCATGAAGTAAACCACTGAATTTATTCTATATCTCTTAGACATTGTCATTTGCATTAAAAAAGTAGTGACGTTTTAAAAAAACATGTTGACCTTCAAATTAATAAGGAGCTCTGATTACTGGGCACTAGCTATGGGCCTGGCTCTGAATTTTTCTGTTTTTGCTCATTGATTCTATTTTTTTTAAGTTTTGTTTTTTATAATATTACTTTTTAGAAGTCAATGGATCTTTATTCATATGTGGTGCTTAGAATCGAACCCTGGGCTTAATACATGCTAGGCAAGTGCTCTACCACTGAGCTACAACCCCAGCCCAAGCTTTATTCTCTAAAACAACAATTTAAAGGAATTAAGGTTTATAAAATTTTGGTTCAACAATAACTGTTATTTTAAAGTACCACCATACATTCCAGATTTCAAATATTCCTTTAAAATCAAAACTTGATTAATATGAAAACATTCATGTAATTATGATAATTATTACTAACTTGTTATATATCAATTGTATCTCTTTCATAAGTATATGTCTTTAAAATACAAGATTTTTTTTAAAAAAATTAATTTATTTATTTTAATTAGATATGTATGTCAGATATTATTACATGCCTTTTACAGGTAAGGAGACAAAGACTTAGAAAAATGCATTAACTTATCTAAACCAAAAATGACAGAGTAGGTTTTCCAATCCAGGTCTGTCTGACACCACAGCTCATTTTAAACTCTGAAGTAAACTGTTTCGGATGTTTTCCATCATGCTGTCTCAAATATAAAGCATCTGGCCTATGTTCTTCTGTTTTCATCTTCTGGTATCATCACCAGACTAGATTACTCATCTTTGAAATCTGTATTCCTTAGCCATTCTTGAAAGTATCATAAACGAATAATCAAAAAGAACACAGAACAGTATTTTAAAAAATGAGCCAAGATGTGACATGTCATGTCAATAGTACATACCTTTTTTGCCTTGCTGGTCATCACAGTTTTCATAAGTACAAGGTCCCCAAGCAGACCAAGGTGAAACCTCACATTCAATTGGACAAGGAATGTGGCACAGCTGTGTCGTGTTAGGGACTGGGCCAGTGCAGAATTTCGAATCCACTGGTTTTGAGGCTGTTTGGAAAAAAAATAGAGATATATGCTAAGAACTAAACCAAAAGCAATTGTTGTAGTCAACAGAATGACTCGTCTGTATGTATGAAAAAGGAAAATGCTTAAAAGATGTAGCACCAGAACATTATTCCAATGCTTCTCAACTATATCCTGAGAATAAAAAGAGGAGTGAGTAACGAAAGAAGTAGTATAGTTCAATCAAAAGAAGCTGGACCAGAAGTCTTGCAAACTATTACCAGCTTTACCACCAATTAGCCATGTAGTTAATAATGATAAATGCAACTCTCCTACTCAATAAAGTAATCCTTAAAGTGAACTCTAAGCTAGAGTTTAAGAAAGTAGAATCTGCTTTAGAGGACCCAGCACAGGAAGAGGGACAAAGCAGTTTCAATAAATATAAAAAAATAAGTCCACTGAGTGGCTTCTGATGGAGCAAACTCCTGTTCCTGTCAGTCCATAGGTATTAAGAGGTGTCACATGGATATGAGGAAGTTAAAGCTCATAGGGAGCTACTCTTTCTACTCCAGCTTTGACTCACACAGTGCTTTCCAGAACTTTTGCAGAATATATTATCTGTATATGTGACCAAAATCTAAGAATTGCTAAGGACCCTAATTAATAATTGTTTGTTCATAAGTTGACAATGGGTACATGTTGCTTGTGCATGCTTCTATCTTTTTGATGCCTAGAATTTGGATCTTTGGTATACACGTATATTTGAAAGTTTATGTCAAGATATACCCATAGTATGGCTACAGAACTGGTTAAAAATTACTAAGAGAGGAAGGTATTCATATGAACAGAAGAAGAGAATTAGCTGCTTGTCTACCTATCTATCATCTATCTATATATATATCAGCTTTCACTCCACAGCTATAGTTACTTTTGCTGCAAAATATTTAATTAATAAGTATCTTGATCACATATTCCCTTTTATAAAAGTTAATTCCTGTTTCACTCTGATAATTTGGAGAACCCATGCTTGCAGAATAAAGGACTTAAATAACAGAGACTTAGCTATTTGTCATTCTCCTTATGTGAGAGGACTAATTCTGGTTGCTGAGATTGCATCTAGAAACTCATAAAAATGTTAAAATATTTTGAGCTATGATTTTTAAATTTAAGTACTGATTATGTCTATTTATAGTTTAAACTCTAAGGCAAGTTGTAAGTCCCTTAAGTCATGCGCCCCTTAAGTTTCTACACACACAAGAACACACAACCACACATGCTACCTAAAGGCCATTATGTTGACTTCTCTTACTGACAGTTTTTGTTTTGAAAAATATTCTGCAGACTTTATTTTTTTCTCCTTCCTCCAAGAAGTGCTTATCCCCTTATCCCTTCACTTCCCACATGGACTATAGTGAAAATAAATGACAGGGCACCTCTAATTTGCTTAGTATGGAGCACAGCAAGCATGCTCACTCAAGTTAAAAGGATTATTGCTATGCACAGCATAACATCAACCAAAGCCAAAAATGATTAATTTTATTGCTTTCTAATGGTGAAAGTACTTGACATGGTAATGATAGAAAATACAAAAATAAATGATTCACTTTCTGTGAATAAAGAAGAAAACCTTGACAAAATGATGCACATTTCACATAAAAATGAATTATTTTTAAGACCCATATAGGCAGAATAGTCTATACTATGCAGAAAAATTAACATAAGTACTTTCACTTTCATCCTTTCACTTGTAGCATTTTTCCAACTCATTTAAATTAGAAGTTTGGTGTAATGGAGACCTGAAAGTCCTGCAGCATTTTCTTTCAATTAATTATAAGTCACTTTAAGCCTTGGTATTAATATATATATATATTTGGAAATAATAGTTATATCAAACAAAGTCTAAGGGGCATGCGATCTTGAATACTATGAGTCTGAAGAAATTTATATGTAAGGTTGAAGAATCTGAGAGAGAAGCAAGGCTTTATTAAGGAAACAAACTGCTACATTGTACTTCAGCTTCTCTGGCTATTCTCTTTGAATGTTTAATTTTAGCTTTTGGGGTATTTTGAATGCATCAAACAGAATAATCAGTCATGAAATATTCTTGAGCTACTAGAAGAGAAAGGTGATGAATAAAGGCTCAGAAAGTATTGCTAAAGCAAATACTCTTGAGGGTGGCATAGTTGCTAAGCCATCCAAGTAAACCCTGAAATAATATAATTCTTGACAAGTGACCTCTATTTTTTAGACGTACTTTTATATAGATGTAGGCTTTTCCCATTAATCAAAGAAACAAGAGAGAATATATGTTTGTTTAAATCATACTCCCTTGATGATTTTCATTATAAGTTGTCTTATAAATAGAGTATGTATTGATAATGTAAATCCCAATATTATCTGAGTTCTTCAATATAAGTCAATCACATCTTTGCAATTGCCCCAAGAGTTATTTGGAATCAGTGTGATACAACCAATGAAGTAAAGGACAAACTCATAAGACCTTACTGGGATCCTGTTCATAACTGTGGGATATAATTCCTGCAGGTCTTTGTTATACAACATAGTGTTTGCTGTTGAACTAATATTGCCAAATATTGAGATCTGAATTTTTCTATAAGTAATACACTTATTGTTCATGTATAATTTTACTACTTAGAAAATTTTTCATGCAGTACAATTTCTGTAGAAATATTTTACATATTTTTAAATACCTGATTGTTGATTTCTTGAAAATAAAATAGACATTTTGATGTCATATGATAGAAAATATATTCAATTAAATGCATATCACATACTTCATGAGATCACAATGTTTGAACTTCTTTAGGGTTACCAAAAAAAAAAAAAACCCTAAAAATTGAGAGTGGCATATTGTTGTATGTCTGAAATGTTTTTATATTTTTTTAAGTTTATAACATTTTAAATGGAAAAGGACTGTTATAATAGACTTAAGACTTATGTTTCCATCAATCTAATCAATGAGGTATTCTGAATATCTATTTGATGGATAATCCAAAGAGACAGCTAATATATAATTTTTAAATTGAATATTTTTAAGATAACTATAAATTCACATGAAACTATAATTTGATGGAGATTCTATACATTCTTTACAAAGTGTCCCTCAATGGTAAGATGTTACAAAACTATAATATGAAACAAATCTGGCAACAAATTATTCTAGTTTTCATTCACCTAAAAATATCTTTATTTCTCCTTCATTTCAGAGGGATGCTTTTTCCTGAGTACTGAATTTTTAGTTGACAATTCTTGGTTTTTTTTGTAAACAACATATTGCAACTTTATTAGATATTTTATTAGATTTATTTTATGTTTGGACTCAAGTGAGGTTTAAGTTGACAATTCTTTTTCTTTAGCATTTAAAAAATATTTTGTCACTTTTTCCTGGTCTATAAGGTTACTGATTCACTATCATTCAAACTATCTTTTCTGTCTAGATGGAGTGTCATTTTTTCTCTGACTGCTTTCAAGTATTTTTTCCTTATCTTTAGTTTTCATACTGTAATTACAATGCATCTCTTTTAGTTTAACCTTTCAGAGACTTATGCAACTTCTTGAATCTGTAAATTTATGTCCTTGCCATATTTGGAAAGTTTTTAGCCATTACTTTTTTTAGAAACTTAAAAAACAACAACAAAAAACAAAACAAAACAAAAACCTCTGCCTTCTTTTTCCTCTCCTTCTAAAACTCTAATCATGAATATGAGATCTTTTGTTACAGACTCACAGGTTCCTGAAACAAATTTTTCATTTTTTTTCCTACAATATACTTTATCTCCACTGGCCAGTGGGGCCGGGAATTGAACCCAGAGCTGTGTGAATGCTAAGACCTTCATTTTACCACTGAGCTACATCTCTAGGCCCAGTTTAGGTCATTTCTATTTCTCTGTATTTCAATCCTTCACTTCTTTCCTCTATCCCCTTCATTATGCTGATAAGCCATGAATAAAAGATTTTATTTGCTTTATTTTTGAGATCTAAAATTTCCACTTGGTTCTTATCTTCATTTTCTTGACTGAAGTGTTTTATGTTTTGTTCCAAGCATGCACATAAACATTGAAGCATTTTTATCATGTGTTCTGTAAAATCTTGTTAGATAATTCTAATCACTCCACCATCTCAGTGTTGGTTGGCATTCATTGACTGTTTTCTATTCAATTTAAAATTTTCTTGGTTCTTGATATGATGAGTGATGTCAATCAAAACCTGGACATTTTTTTTGTGCTGTGTCCAAAGTCTCTAGATCATTTTCAAATCTTTCTTTTTTCCCAACTGGCTTTTTATGACTGTTCCAACACAGGAAAGGATGAGAACGCTACGGTGTTCCTGGGAGTTGAGAGTGAAGGCCTGCCTTTCATTGACAGTGTGTGGGGGGAGCTGTTAGTCACTGTGAGGATGTGGATATTCTGGTTCCCCATTGCTTTACCAACACCATGGTGGGAGTCCATTACCAACATCTGGGATGCAGGGCCTGTTCTCTGCTTGACTTTCTTTGACAGCACCCAGCAGAAGTGCTGGTACCTCATTATGTAATAGTGAAAACTGAGTCTCCCTATAGGCTCTGCTGGTACATATAAGGTATGGCCATGCTCTTTATCTGTGTTTCTGACTGGAATAGAATTATTAACTAAAGTTTGTGTCATGTCATATTGACCTTTTATTTGGCTAGAAAGAGCAGGCGTTTGTTTAGACTTTTAAAATCTATGACCACTTGCATTTCTGGGTTGTTGGCTGCTTTAGCTCCAAGTCTCAGATACAGGAGGCAAAAGGAAAGCCATGGGAACTTACGGGGGTAGGGGGGCTGAGGTCTATACTTCTCTGCTTTCTTCTCTACAAGTTTTAGTCTTCTTGTAGTTTGTTTTCTATATACTTTCTAGGGATTTTTAAAATTTAGTATAGAAATTACATCTCTATTTTTCTGAAAGCAGAAGTCTATAGGTTATTTTAAAAATAAATCCTTTTAATTATAAAACTCAGATCACAAATAGAGAAAATCCTTAGAGAATTCCCCAAATCTACAATAT